CTGGGGGGGGATCGTCCCCCTCCTCAGCCCGCAGACTGGTCCCCGCCAGGTGCGCTGCCCACTCCCGCCACTGGCATCTAGGGCGCTCGCCCGTCCCCTGGGCTGGGCTCCCTTCTCGCATGGCAACGCTGCTGCTGCTGCCCGAGAGCTTCAGGGGCAAACCCTGTTCGAGACTTCCCTGGAGAAAGGTCTCCCCGAGCTCCCGTGGAGGGGGCCGATGGCTTCCCCTTTCAGGAGGCAGGGCTAGGTCTCCAGGGGCTGAGTGTCGGTGCTGCATTTTGGGATTCACGCCTAGCACCCGAAGAGGGCGTGGTGCTGTGCAGGTGTAGGGCAGTGAGGCCGCTGACCCCGCCGGCTTGCAAGCTGAATGCATGTGGCTAAGCAGCAGAACTGCTCATCTCGCCACGTAAATTGAACTGCCTTCATTCGAGCTCGAATTTTTCTCCCCAAGAACGAGGTCCTCAGTAGTTTCTCCAAGGTCTGAACAGAGGGAGTTTGCCATATGCCAATGGGAAGGAGAATCCACTCAGCGGCAGTGTGTGCAGGGAGTCAAAAGGGCACGAAGTGGATTCTAAGGATTGGCAGGGGTGGAGTTTGGGAAAACTTGGGAGGCAAGAAGGAGCATGACCTTGATATAGAGAGGCTAAGAGTCATTGTGGAGACTAAAGTAAGGTTGACAGGCTATCTTGGCAGCTGTGTCTTGGACTGAAAGTGGAAAGATGAGTGGGACAAGCCAGACATATGGGGGAATGGACTATTGTCTCAGCAGTAAGATAGAAAGGAAGAGATTTGGGGGACAACATAGGAGTAGGAATTCTGAGGGTTGGATGGCGGCGGGGGGGACAGGGTAAATTAATGATGGTCAGACGTTGCCAAGATTGCAAGCATAGGGGAATGGTGGTGGTGGTGTAAGGGGAAAAGGAGGAAGCTGGAGAGAGGGTTAACTAGTATTCTAGCTCTTGATTTTGAAAATATCTTCTGAACACAAACTGATGCAGTCCTGAGTCTCTGCATGGCTCCAGTGCTTACCTCTCAGAACTTTCCAATGCTGTAGCGGAGTGAAAATGAAGAGGAAGTACTCGGTTTTCAGCAGGGTGTTGGCCAGGGACAGATGGCATCTTTAGTCTGGCTAGTTTAGTCCCCTCAAGTGACTTTGACCTAAAAGATCTTGATTTTGATATTCAAAAGACAGGAAATCCTCATGCTGACATGCCTGTTACTCTTTCCTGAACTCATACCAATGTATCAGCCTAAACATGGCTTGCCACTCAAGGCATTTTGTTGAATTTCTGATTTAATACGTAACAATGTTAAATACATAAGCTGTTGAAGCTTAAACCTGAGCAGGTTGCTGCCTGAGTTCTCTGGGCTGGGAGAGCTGTGCACTGTCATATGGCAGCATGTGTTCAGACATATGGACTGGGGGTGGGAATTGTTTGGTTCTTTTTGCTACTAATCTAGTTAACTGTGCTCAGACTCTGCTTTTCAGTCAGTCTACCTAGGGGCAGAGAGAGGGGCTGATGTCTCCTCCAGACATTTCTATTTTTAGTCACAGTTTTCCCTGTATCCCACACAACAATGAACTCTGAATGGAATTAGTGTGGGTCCCACCCTTTGATCTTCATGTGAATTCATTTTATGCCTCACAACTTGTCCCGTGACAGGTTGAGTGGTGTTTCCAGTACAAGTATCAAGCCTTTTTAAAGCAAATTTACTTTCTGCAGAAGTTGATGGCCTGGGTTCCTTCCACTTGCCATAGAAAGTTTCCTGTATCAGAGGGGTAGCCGTGTTAGTCTGAATCTGTAGAAAGCAACAGAGGGTACTGTGGCACCTTTAAAACTAACAGAAGTATTGGAGCATAAGCTTTCGTGGGTGAATGCCCACTTCATCAGGCGCAAGATCAGGCTTGCGTCTGATGAAGTGGGAATTCACCCACGAAAGCTTATGCTCCAATACTTCTGTTACTCTTAAAAGTGCCACAGGACCATCTGTTGCTTTTTACAGAAAGTTTCCTATTTGCCACTAGTGAGTGGGTTTCTCCCCCCCCCCCCAAACTCATTATTTTTCAAATGAAGACTTAAATTTGATAGTCATGGTAGTACAGTCAAGCTAATATTTCATGGGAAGATACCTTAAGTTTGAGCGAGTGGACATTAAGACTCTAGTAATGGAAAAAGTAGACACTTCAAAGGAAGTTCTTTTCAGAACCTAATATTGTAAAGTGTTAACTAAGCTAGCAAACTGAAACAAAAACAGGGTGGCTTAAAACAAGACCTGAGAAACACCTGGTGAAAATGGGGAAATATTATTTCTTCACTTTTCAACTGTTAAGGATAAATGGCATTTGTGTGGCCTTTTCCTGTGTACTTTTCATAAAGCACTCTTGGGGTTTCGGTCTTGCAATTTCCTGGACGTATAGAACATTCGTCCTGCTTTTTATCCCCTGTGATCTATAGATGAAGTTGGGTGTGTAGAGAGAGTAGTTGCTACCAGTAATAAAGGTAACACATACTTAGCGCAAAACATGAGTCATGTTTTGCGCTAATTCCCTTCTGAAAAGAAACTACGTTGGAGAGAACCCATGGCTTACCTTCAGGGCTTTCTCCAAACAAGCATGCCTCTTTTGTAACTACTTAAATGCCAGAGGATGGCACTTCTGCAGAACTGTCTTATTGATACAACATCATGGGTGTGCATGGTAAAATACAGATTCAAAAACACCTGCCTAAGGAACTTAGTCTTTTTGTTGGTTCTGGACAGCACGTTAAGTCTTGTGCTGTAGTTAGTGCTTTTTTTTAAACCCCATGGGAATCTGGCCAAAAATGAAGTGCATGGGGCAATCACTTTACACTTTCCTCCTGCATCATATCCATTGTTGTTCATGTGGACAAGGAGTAATCTTCCCTCATTTCAAGATGTATGTTGCCCTTTGAGAATGGTGGATGTGTTAAATATATACAGCATCATTCTTGTGTCTTGAAGATGTCTGGTTTCTTTGACAGAGCGTCTCAGAAAGGAGCTTCGCTGCCATGTGACTGGATATCTGCTTAATGCCTATTCATAAGGGCTTTGCATGCAGCCTTTTAAAAAGACTGTGTAAAGACTAATGTAGCCCAAACAGACTTGCCTGAGCATGGGCTTAAGCAAAATAATGTTTTAGGCAATGTTCTTAAGACTGGGCATAAACAGAGTAGCACTCATTAACAGGTCACCCTTAGTTTGGCATCTACTTATATCTGTAGCCAGATGTGTTAAGATAGTGAAGAATGTTTAACATGAACTTATAATAAAATTAAGTGGCAGGTGAGGATGAAAGTGAAATAAGGAGAACTGTCTGCTATTTGGTCACTGTACATGTAACCTAACAACAAAATGTAGACTTTGTGCTCTTTCTAGTTCTTGTAATGAAGCATCCCAACAATGTGCCTGGGTTCTGACCAGAAGGGATTGTCATTAGGATTGAAAAGAGAACTTTGGTTCTTCAGTACTTGCACCTCAAACATTGTTCACCTAGATCACTGAACAGCCATCAGAGAGTAGCTACTTTTGATCACTGCTGACCTGTTGAACCAGTGTCCTAGGGATAGGAGCATCTCTTTACTAATCTGTGTAGCCAACCAGTCCCCTTCATGGCACATTTTTCTTAAAATCCCAGTAGAAGGAGACTTGGTTAGCTTAATTGAACAAGCTGTTGTTCTCCATGGTGTGTGCTGTGCTTGAAAGATCTTCTCCCTCCCCTTTGCCCCTTAGGTATAGTTCTGAGTTTTAGGCACTCATACCACAATTGTTCAAGGTGTGGTGGTGATCCAGCATGATTCATTATGTGCCCTGGGGTATATTGAAACTTCCGGTTCTATTTTTTGTCCATGCTTGGGCTTGGAAGTTCTAAATCAGTGGATTCCATCTTTTTGTCTGAAGCTGTCCCTCTATAAT